GCACTCGCCAGCGCCCTTAACATCTTCCCACGCACGAACAACCCGATGATTATTAAGGATCCCATCCATACCGACATCAACTTTCAGGAGTACTACGAGCTCATATGCTAGGAACAATTAGTAGGGAAACGGATCAAGAGAGGCTCGACGAAGCCCACCACTCTTCAGCATGAGTGGCAATTCCTTAACTAGTTGAAATGTAGGTCTTTCTTCCCCACTACTTCACATGACACCAGCCTCCCCAACCGGTTGTTGTATCTTATGCGTGCCATTGGATCTGTGAGGCAATGCCTCCACTTGGGATAGGTCTTAACGCAGACATTCCAGCGCAGCTCCTCCGACAGTCATCTAGTATTTTGCGGCCTAGTGATTACGACCCTAGAATTGCACTTCAAAGTGGACACCCATCCACGCCATCCTCTCAAGCTCATTTCCCCTTTTAACGAGGATCAAATTAAACAATAAGATCCTCCACTTGATCGAGAGGCAGGGGTGACAAAGGTGGATTAAGGGACTTACCCCTCCTTCTTCACCAAAGGAAGTTGTTCTGGAACAACCTCATCGCACTCGGGAGTGCAGAGAACTTTCTCTGCTACCACCTTCCGCACCACCGCCAGCTGAGCCCTCTTCAGGCTGATGTGATCAGCAATTGGCTGTTAGGTCACCTAATTTGCCATATCCACTAACAAGATCCCACTCTAGAGTGACTGAACACGGATCTAAGGAAAAAACTAATAAAATGAAGAGCGCGGAATTTGTTTATCAGTTCGCGAATCCGGAATGGAAGACTCTGCAATAGAATAGAAGATGCTTTTCCTTTCTTCTCGAGCCCAAGATGATAACGCCCAAACCTCAGACTAACGCGTTTGATTGGCCACAACTCCCACGAAGCCAGAGTTGGGGATTCTGGACAACGAAAACAGGGGAAAGAAAGGGGTGGTTTGAACGTGCAACTTCTTGCCAAGAATTATGGAAGAGGCTCCATTGATTGAGGTCGCAACTCGTCCACAATTGAGGTGGCTGCTCAACTGATGTAGAGCTCCCTTGATTGCAGGATTCAATCCAATCAAACCGAGGACAAAATTCACGAGATAAACTCAATGAATAAACTTGTTCTATTCATAAAACTTGAATCGATTACAATGCAAACGATGACTTAAATAGACTCTAGCTAGATTACTAAACAAGGTAAAATGTCCTTAATCTAACACAACTCGAAAAGGAATAAAAACTAACAAAGAAACATAACCCGTAACTAGTAAGGAAAGACAGAATTGCCTTGGAAGGCAAGCAAACTTCATGGTTCCACACCATCTTTAAGGCTCTCAATCGAAGCTTTCTAGTCGTTGATTCAATCATCCAATGCTGCTTCTCTGTATAATAATATGCATACTTTCAAGTAGTAGGAAGCTCCTGTCTTGATTCGAAACATCTTCCTGGAATAGAGCTTCAAAGTCGCCTTCCTGAACACAGTTTTATACTTAGGCAGATTCTGAGAGTTTTCCTGTGTTGAGGAGGCATTTTGTCGAGCCTGGAAAATGGTATTCTGAGTTTCTTCTCGAGCTCCCAGACACCCAAACTTGTAGAGGAGAACTCTAGGTTCAAAACAATAACCCCAAACTCACATTTTCATGCAGCCAATTGCGAGAACCGACCCTCCAAAGTACGTTACCTCAAACAGGCAACAGACTTAGCCAAAATTTAGGTTTTCCTTCAACGATTGAGGTTGCTTATATTTCAAACTATTGGGACTTGTAAGGAGGTCCAATTGATATCATATCAGGCCCCTCTCTTGAAAAAGTGTAGCCCTAAACACTTCAGCCTGCCTCTGCTCGAATCGCTCACAGAATCGAGCCTAGATTGGACCGAATTGGCCTTCTTGAACTCCTTTCTCTGCCAGATTAGGTCAATAGTGTCCTTCAGGTTCGAAATTGGGTCTTTCGAATCAAATCATTCCCAGCATAATTCACTGCTCCCACGATCTTCGCCATGCTTCAGATTGTGTTTTTGGATCGATTGGCGGTCTCGATGCGTAGTCATAGTCGTCGAAATGCCAGGCCTACGTTTCCTGCAAATTCTAGGTTTCAAACGTGCATCGTCCAGAAATTTCAAATTCAATTTGGGCATTTCCTCCCCGGGATCTTCTGGTGCAATTGAAGCTTTCCACAGCTTCGGAAAACATTTCCCAATATCTCTGCAATGTCGGTTGGCGTCGATTTACCCTCAGCTACTCCAACCCATTTGTTTGAATTTTGCTCGTGTTTGATCATTCCCAATTGGATCCTCCACTCTGGGTGGATTCGAACCAATAAAATCATTGGATAAGCTTCTCGGACCCACATGGAACGTGTCGGTACTGTTAACAGAGTTCGAATCTCCCTGGGGTGCTCCACCCAATTCTCTCTCTCCTCCCCTGCGACGGCGACAAACGAAAAGGGCGACGGCGGCGAGGTGTCCTCTCCTTCTTGTATCTAGTATGCATAAATTGTCAGGTGAGAAGGGTACCTCCACATTGATCCTCAGAACTCGTCGGGCTAGATTCTCATGTCACTCATCGTCGGCCAGCTTCGAGTTGCCTTTGATCTTCATGAACCTCTGCCGGTGTTAATGGCTGCATCAATATCTTCCTTCCTCCATGGCGGACCTTGTAACAATTGGAACCACCATAGAGGCAAACTCCCCTATCAAATTCCCAAGGTTCGTCTGAGGAGAAGATGAGTAGCTAGCATCGGAGCAACGTCAAACATCATATCGTCCTTATATTCTCCAATCTTAAACTTCACGAGGGCTTGTCGTTGAACCTTAATCGCATTGTATTCGTTAAGCCAATTCAAATTATATGGCGATGGGTGTCGAATCGTACTCAGCCACAATCATTTAACCACATTTTGGCTAAGGACGTTAGCACAACTGCCGCCATCGACGATTACAGACAGTAATTGGCCCTCGACCAAACACTTAAATTGGAAAATATTTTCCCTTTGGTATGTTCCGGTTTGATGGGTTGCTGTGAGAGCTCTCCTGCTGACTGCAAACAACTTGCCTGGTGGTGGAGGAATCTCAGCCTGAATGTCCTCATCGATCTCGTCTCCATCAGAATCAAGTGTAGGCTTCGTCGGAATTTCCTCTTCATCCTCGGAGTAGTACTCCTCGTCTCCGAGCATGAGCGCTTTTCGATTTGGGCATTGATTCGCCTTGTGCACGCGGCCAAAACACCTGAAGCACTAAATTTGTGCACTAGAACCCTCGTTTTTGGCTGCCTGGCTTCTAGCAGCTGCATTTTCTACCTCAGACCGAGCTGGATTCCCTTCAGTTCCGGGAACAAAGTCGAGGTTGGTTTTGTTCGTCGGTGGGGATCTACGATTTGCAGGGAGCTTTATCTGCTTCTCCACCTTCATCGTCAAATGAACAACTTCCTCCAACTCGACAAATGGTCGAAGTTCCACTTCATATCAGATTTCTCTATTTAATCCGTGTAAAAACCTTGTGACTGTAGCTTCTCTGCCTTCTCTGACATCGGCTCTCATTAAGAGCATCTCAAGCTCTTTGTAATACTCGTCAACAAAGCGGAAACCCTGCCGAATTCCTTGCAAGGACTTGAAGAGGTCCCTCTGGTAATATTCGGGAACAAAGCGGTTCCTCATTAGACCTCATAGCTCGTCCCACACCATGACAGCAGCCTGAAGGTTTCTTCATCGTCGAAGTTGTACCTTTTCCCACCACAACGCGGCATATTCCTTAAATTCATAAATTGCAAGCGAGACCTCCTAGGATTCAGTGTAATTGTCACATTGGAAGAAAATATTGATTTTACTTTCCCAATCTAGGTAGGCTGAGACATTGTTGGAGCTTGAGAAGGAAGGGATTGACAGCTTGATACCCTTGAGTTCGTCAATGGTTTCCTCCGACTATGCCTCGTGGCGAATTTCCCGGTGACGATCTCGAAAGCGGCGTTCATCTCATGGTCAGCCACCACTACTCGCTGCTCGATTTCCTAAAGTCTCGCCAGTAATGCCTGATTCATCTCGCCTTGATGCTCCTCCAGCTGAGTTAAGCGATTGCCGCCATGTTCTGCAAAATTCCTCGACGAAACAGGGGCATGAAGTGTCATGCTCAATTCGGCCAGTTATTTCTGGATTTGGTCAAATTGAGTCTGGAACGTCGCTGCAATTGACTACAACAGGTCAGAATTATGGTTGGTTGGGTCACCCATCGCTTGATCTTCAATTTGAGTCACCTCTGCGGACTCAAACGTGCTCTTTGCTTCCGAACGTCAAACTGCAGGGTCACTATCTACAGGACCCTCAATCTTGTGCAGGACGTAGTGTCGGCTACGTTTTTCTTCGTCTTGGCCATTGCGTTTGAACCTAAGGCTCTGATGCCAATTGATAACGCCCAAACCTCGGACTAAGGCGTTTGATTGGCCTCAACTCCCACGAAGCCAGAGTTGGGAGAGAGACTCGATCGATTGAGGTCGCAACTCATCCACAATTGAGGTGGCTACTCAACTTATGCAGAGCTCGGTTGATTGAAGGATTCAATCCAATCTAACCAAGGACAAAATTCACGTGATAAACTCAATGAACAAACGTGTTCTTTTCATAAAACTTGAATCGATTACAATGCAAACGAGGACATAAATAGACTCTATCTAGGTTACTATGAAGGGTAAAACGTCCTTAACCTAACACAACTGGAAAAGGAATAAAAAACTAATAAGGAAACATAATCCGTAACTAGTAAGGAAAGACATAATTTCCTTGGAAGACAAACAAACTTCATGGTTCCACACCATCTTCAAGGCTCTCGATAGAAGCCTTCGAGTTGTTGATTCATTCATCTAATGCTTCTTCTCTGTATAATAATATGCATACTTTCATGTAGTAGGAAATTCTTGTCTTGATTCGAAATCATCTTCCTAGAATAGAGCTTCTAAGTCGCCTTCCCGAACACAGTTTTATACTAAGGCAGATTCTGACAGTTTTCCTGTGCTGAGGAGGCATTTTGTCGAGACAGAAAAATGGTCTTCTGAGTTTCTCCTCAAGCTCCCAGACACCCCCCAACTTGTAGAGGAGAACTCTAGGTTCAAAACAATACCCTAAACTCACATTTTCATGCACCCAATTGTGAGAACCGACCATCCAAAGTAGTATACCTGAAATAGGGAAAAGACAGTCAAAATTTAGGTTTTCCTTCAACGATTGAGGTTCCTTCTGCTTCAAGCCATTGGAGCTTCTAAGGAGGTCCAATTGAGATCATATCACAAGATCGATGTGCACCCAGGTGGAGATTGCCCACCGTCATCCGTCGGCGTCGGCAGGTTTTGAGTAAAGCTGGGTACGACAACTTGATGCTGAAACCCTAGTTGTTGATGATAATTTGTTGAGCGGTTAGTGTCGATGAATATGGGAGGAATTTGGATCTAGTGGCTACGGGGAAGGAATTTTTCTGGGCGATTGATTGCGGCGGTGGCGCTAGCTTTGGGATTATAGTTTCCTGCAAGATTAGGCTATTACTGTTCATGAACCGTCAACGTTTATAGAGTCAAAAAGAATCGAAGGAAGGAGCATCCGCGTCCCCAAATGGTAGCTCGCTGCCGACGATCTATTAAGAAGAGTGGACAGCATTGGGATTTGTGGGAGCAAAGTTGTATCCTGGAAGAAGGAAGATATTTCCATGGAGGAGATGGAGGGGAATAGATAAGTCTCCAAATTTTTTGTGGCTGTCGAATTAGTTTTATTTTGTTCATTTTATGCTTTAAAAATTAGTAAATAATAAAGTTTGAAGTAATATTTTTTAATAAGTCATGGTCAAACAATTGAGTCCTTAACAAATAAAAGTGCTTATTATTATAATGAATGATTTTCTTCTGGATTACAGTAATCAAATTGTTTGAAATTAAATATTAATATAATATTAACGCTCTTAATGCGCTCTCTATATTGAATTCTTAAGAAATTGACACTCTCGCACTCCTGCTCTCGCTCCCGTTCCCACTCCACAAATCGGTAAGCTAAGTTGGTTGCACTAGCGCATCGGAATGCGCAGATCATGGCTTTCGAGACATTTATCCTCAACCGCATTGACGGAGAGAGGGATGGCAGATGACGCTTGCATGTCGGCGTCAACTACATCATCAACCATTGGGGAGAAAGACCCGACGACGGACCCCCATCCTTGGGCCTGTTCTCCCACTCCACCTCCTGGATGATGTGAATTTTCCTTATACGCCTCGAGATGATTGATTGCCACTTTATCTTTGCGACTGCGACCATTTGCGTGATTTTATTTCAGTGTGGCGTGTTGTGATGTTTGACAACCTAAACTTAAGTTTGTTTGCTTAACCTTTACCCGTGTGAGTTGTGATTTTGTTGACATAGACGCAATCTGTGATTGGTCCCATTTCCAGACCAATATTTGAAACTGGTCCCTCTTCAAGTCCGTTCGTTCAATCGACTCCATCACCATTCCGTGTCGGATCATCATTCCAAGATAAATTCGTTCCACTACCCCTACTCAAACTCCATTGATGGCAATGTCGCACTCAAGTGTGGGGGAGTGTTGATTCTTTAAGAATGCTTGGTTCTTTGAAAATTCTTGGAGCTTTATCCATGATAAAAAAAAAATTACCAAATTTGAGAGCTCCAAGCATATTTTCTTCTTAAGCATGAAAATAGTGTGCACTATTTGAACTTTTGTTTTGAATCTCGCGGCCTATTAGCATGGATGCATGATACCATGATTGTGATTTAGAGTGACCTATTATGATAAAGGAGATGTGTAGTATGATTGTGTGTGGAACCAGTCTCCATTTGGTTGCAAAAATGCATGTGGTTTGGATGAGTTATTCACTAACACAAGTTAATCAAGCATCATGAATGAGGAATTTTGAACGAGAACTTGAGCATCTAGGTAACAATGTGAGGTTTGTGCTTGTTCGCTTCTTTCTTGTGTGATAGTTCCCTCTGGCCATGATTAGTTAGCATCACTACATCACTAATAAGAAAGATGGAGGCATAGGTTTAGCCCACAACCAAATTGACTACCCAACATCATAATATCCCTTAGTCAACCCCGTTGAACCTTAGCCTAATTCTTGCTACTTTACCCTGTTCAAAACCAATCCATGTTCTTCAAGCCCATATTTTTTTGAACCCTTTTCAAGGTTTCACGGGGTTGGTTTTAAACACGATTGTTCGTTTCATGTTTAAGTGAGTTAAAGAGGAAGTGAAACTTTTTGGATGTGTTGTACTTTAAGTTTCTCAAAATGTGGCTTATTTTGTTATGTTCTCAAAAACAAAAACAAAACCAAAAAGAATGAAAAGAGCGGCCAGTATTTTTAAACACGTCTTCAAGAGTCTTTTTTCATGCATATTTGCAAAGGAACTCCTAATATTTGAAAATTACCTCCTATACTCTTGTGCTTAATTATAATGTCAAGGAAACATTGGCAAAGAGGATGGTGTTGTGTATGGTTTTGGTTTGGATTTTGTGGAATCTTGAGCAATGAATAATTTCCACCACCATAAAGCCTTGTTGCTCATGTCCTAGACCCTAGGCAGTTACAACCCGATATAAGTCCTCTTGACAAGTTAGTGATAACCCTTTCACACTGGGGAAGCTAACTTCATGGCGAAGAGATGTTAGGTTTAAGAGAAATGGCATGTGCATCTTTTGCCTAAATCATGGTCCTGGCCCCACTGGTCGAGAGTTGAGTGATTCATTTTCATATAATTTATACCGATGAGGACCTAGATTGCTCGTTTTCTTATTCAGGTGATTTGCTCTCTATACTTGGATAACATGCAACTAGTGAGTAATTCATAAAGGCTGCATGTTGTTTTGTAAATTGGAGGGGGGGAGGGTTCACTACCACAAGGTTACTACACTCAAATGTCGTTTGTGGTGGTCGCTAGAATTGCCTTTGTGATATCTGGCATGTCATTGTCAATAGCCATTTGCGATTCATTGTTTTTTTTTTGTGCCCCTGTGAATTGTGAACCGAATTTGTTTTTAAGAAATTACTTTGAGGAGACCTTGTGCCATACATGGTTTTCTTTGGGACAAGCAAACGTTTAAGTGTGGGAAAATTTGATAACACCATAATTCCACATGTTTATTCCCTCATTTCTTAGTCATTTGAGCATGGTTTCTTGCTTCTCAAGCCTATTTTACACTAGGATATGTTCATTTGACACATTTCAGGTCCTAGCAAGCAAAGGGGAGCTTTGGCACAAGTTTCGGGTCATTCAGAGGTAGTTTCGAGACTTGAAGGATAAAACTCGACTGAGTTCTGGGGCCAAGAAAGAAAACTCGGCCAACCAAGAGAAAGAAACTCGGTCGAGTTTCAGTATAATGAGACCGAGTTTCCACTATCGAGGACAAAACTCAGTCGAGTTTTTCCAAGACTGGAACCGAGTTTTACCCTGAAGATGAAACTTGGCCTGGTGAAAAACAAAAAAAAAAAAAACTCAGTCAAGTTTTCAAAGCTTAAGACCAGGTTTCCACTATTAAGCACAAAAACTCGGTTGAGTTTTCCCAATGTCAAAATCGAGTTTTACAATGAAGATGGCCGAGTTTTGTACAAAACTCGGCCTGGAGCAAGAAACTCAGACACCAAACTCGCCCAAGTCTCATAAATAGTATAAATACACATTTCCTTATCTAAATCTATATCGGACATTTCAGAGAGAGAAAATAGACTCCTAGAGAGAGAAAGTGGCGGATAAATACATCTGGAAGCTGAATTTTGGCCCCCTTCCATCCTTAGAACTCAAATTTGGTCCTCTGGAACGAAGATCAACATCAAGGAAGTAGATCTGAATTATCCATATGAGCATATCTACTTCATCCATGGATTTCTTTTCTAGATCTATGGAGTAGTCCACTCCATTACTTGGGTATGTAGAACCATAGATTTTTGTGGTATGGTCGATTGTGATTGTTATTTGGTTTGTAACACTTTATATTATTTATCCGTTGGAGTTTATCCAGTAATTGTTGAATCTTGATCAAATTTGCCAATTATTACTTTAACTTATCAGATAGAATATTTGATTAAGTTGATAGAGTACCTTCATTCGGTGGTAGTAAATTGATTGCGCAAGTAGCGAGTCAATTCACTGTTTTGTATCGGATTCTCCATTCGATAGAGGGAATCTTACCATATTGCCTTGATATTCTATTCCGGTTGAGGATAATTTCCCTCCATGTAGTTTAATCACGAGGGTTTGGAATGCTTTAGTTGAGATTCCAAACTAATTTCATATTATCCACAGTAAAAATATCAAGTTGAACGAACTAGGTAGTAATCAACATCAACCTAAGTAAGAATTAGGGGAAAACATACCCAAATGAGTTCTCTAAGAATTAAGCAGGAAACCGTCAAAACTTGTACAAATGCCATCTAAGCTATCAAATCTTAATAGACTCCAAGACGGTTCAAGATAGGGTGCATAACCATGGGTTATGCACCCATCAATAACCAAATCTGGACCCTTCATTTAGAAAATCCAGATCTAAGGATGGAGAATTAAAGGCTATTTTTATTTTCACTAGCTTTCTTAATTGACTCATATCTTTTTCGTTTTAACTCGGATTTTAATTTTTTTTGCACAGATGGAACGAGTTCACCGTGCTCTACAAAATGAGATCAATTTTCAATATTTTTTTAGGAAAAAAAAAAATTCTGGCCTCTCGGTACCAACTGCATACCATATGGTATCTTCTTCGTTTTTAATTCGTTTTTGAAAACGTTTGCACAGCAGGGATGAGTTCATCATGATCTACTGGATCTACAAATTTCTGGGTGAACAAATTACAGGACAAAAAAATACCACACAATACCATACAATACCACCCTGGTACGGGGTGGTATTGTATGGTATCTTCTTCGTTTTTAATTCGTTTTTGAAAACGTTTGCACAGAAGGGACGAGTTCATCATGATCTATTGGATCTACAAATTTCTGGGTGAACAAATTACAGGACCAAAAAATACCACACAATACCATACAATACCACCCTGGTACGGGGTGATATTGTGTGGTATACAATGTTAAAAGTCGTAAATTACAATTAATATACTTCTACTATCATGTATTCAACCATCCTACAGTATTGGTTTGTTCATACCACCATGGTACGTTTTTCAAAACATAGGTATGCTTTTATTTCAATACCATATGGTATAGGCTGGTAAAAAATGACTCAATTTTTTTTGTTCGAAAAATATATTAAAGTGGATATCATTTTGAAGAGCACAATTAATCTGATCTAACTATGCAAAAAAAAATTAAATTTCGACTTAAAATGAGCGAGAAATCGACTGTCAAAGATTAAAGAGGGAAAAATTAAAGGCTTTTGTTTGTGCCCGGTTACCTTCCGTCCCACCTCGCTAGACCACCTCCCTTTCCTTCACCTCCAAGGCGCCCAAACCCTGCAAGGACAAGCGCCTAAAGGGCTTTGGTTCGCCCGTTAGCACTCCAACGCTCAAGTTAGAAGCGAATCTAGAGAGAGAAGTGTAAGTAGGGTTTTAGTGTGAGAAGCCAACCTGCTTAAATGCTACCTACCGAGTACTATTTATACTCCTTGAAGACCCGACCAGGCTCCTGGAATCGTGCTCCACGTCAGCGCGTCATTAAATGCTTGGTCGGTCCAACGGTCGAATATTTACACGTGGCGGCTCCTGAACCTCGGCGCCCAGGCGCCCGGCTGGACCACCTTTCCAGGTGGCGCACTCTTACCTTCCTGACTCCTAGGTCACATGGTCCCCGCATCTATTTTTGTCGTTACGCGCCCGCTCCCTCTCAACCGGGCCTTACTTCAACTCTATCGTTCATTTAAACTCCTAATTGGGCTTGGGTCCACTTATACCTACTGGGCTCATACTCCTCACTGATTTGGTCCATGAGCCTGTATCCAACACTCCTAATTGGGCTTGAGCCCACTGGGCCTCTTGGGTTCATGCCCCTATCTGGTTTGATCCATGTGCCTATACCCAACAGCTTTCCATGAGAAAGAGGATGCTGATATCATGCTGATGTGGACGGGTTACTCATGGTTACTCACCATAAGGTTACTGACCTGATCCATTCCCCTCCAAGACTCTCCACTTTTGGAAGTTTGATTATCTTATAGCAACCAAATCATGGGTGGAATGAATTGCACGTACTTTGTCCAAATTATTTTGACCCAAAGGAGTTGCAATCCCCTCCGATATTTCCAAACGGAAAATCACATTTGACAATTTTGAACTCAAATTAAGAATGGTCCATACTGAAAGACAAATGTTTGGCACTACAAATGATGGACCAACCGCCCATTTAGCAAACTTCCTAGAGTTTATGCATCCATATCACTTCAAGAGGTCTCTACGGATGCAATCAACTTATGCTATTCCAGATGGAAGCTTTAAAACATGTGATACTCTTGTGACTTGTCCAGCCCTTCACGGAGAAGGAGAAGGCCAACGTAATAAGGGACCAAATCTTGAGGTTCACACAAAAACAGAGAGAGGCGATCTATGAAGGTTGGGATTGTTACCAAGGGTTACTTCCAATCTTGCCCACATCATGGGTTTAGCTTGGAGCAACTAGCACACTGGTTCTTCAAGAGTTTAAATGCTCCCAAGATTCAAACAGTTGACATATTCGCAAAGGAGGACATCACTCAGCTTACTGCAACAACTACATTATAACTTACGAATCCATGGCTTGCAGAACTAAGAACTAGGTGGGGAGAACAACTCCCAAGCCAGTACACAACCCATTTTTTTTACTGTTGATATAATTTGAATGAGATTATTTGCCGGCGACTAAAAGCTATGGTGTATGGGCTTATACAAGTTTAGGTTTTTGTTCTGGGTCTGGTTGTAACCTTATTCTTTACCACATTGGATTAAGGATAGACCGTCTGGAGAAGTACCATATGTACTTCTCAATCCCTATGTAATTTGGATCTTCTCAAGTATAGTGAAATTAGCTCTCTCACGCTCATGGACTAGCTAACACACATTGTGTTAGTGAATCATGTGAATCTATGTGTTCTTTACTTTTTTGCATCGTAAATTATCCTAATCTCGTTCTCAAAGCACGAAAAAGGATGAATAAACAAATAGGCAGCCTACAAGCTCAACTTACCACTTGTACTGAGTAAGAAAACAATGTAAGACAACTGGGCGTGGAATGTTATGTCGTGAACGATCAACCAGTTTGCCAAAATTATTTTGAAAAAGAAATCAACCCTCATGAGATCCTCGCACTCCAATTTCATAACCACAATATGAAAGAAAATGGATGAAAGGTCTCAAGAAAGACTCAATGAAAGTTAGAGAAAGGATTGAGTTAGGTCCAAGTTGATCGGGACTACATAAATTTAAATTTTGGACACATGTTACACTGAGAAGAAAATGGGAAGAAAAATAAATAGAGTCTCAAGAGGACAAAAAATGACCAAGTGCCACTCACTTATTACATAATCTTTTTCTATTTTTTCACCATAAATAATAAACAAAAAAGTAAATAAAAGGGAAGAAAAATAAAATTTTAAATTTAAGTATGAATAAATAAATTAATTGAATAACTTATGTCTTATTTCTAAAAAAATGAAAAATGAAGTTTATGTAACAAGTGATGGGCAATTTGATCATCTTTATTCCTCTTTAACGGTCAACTAACGAAATTTTGGATGGAAAACTATGTTTGTTACGTTTTAGGGTTACATTTGTGCTAAAAAAAATAATAGAGCGATATGTTTGTTAACTTGCCATAGTAGATGGGTATTGATAACGACATAATTTAACATGTTTTTATTCCCATTTCTTGATTGTTTGGCTTGGTAATCATCTTTCCTAGGCCCATTTCACTCTAGGTAGTGTTCATTTTCCCCTATTTTAGGTCCTAGCATGTGGAGGGAGTTTAGGAGCAAGTTATATGTCATTTGGAGGTCAAAACGCTTCAAAAAGTGGAGGCAGACCCCAACTCACGACCATGGGGTGACTTGAAGACGAGGAAACATTAGCATTTACACAAGTCACGGCCATGACCGTGACTTGGCCTTTTTTACCATAACTTGAGCCCCGAGGTACTGGACAAGCTCTCAGGGAATAATTTCTTTCTTATTTCTGCTTTTCTTTCCCATGACCCGAGACCTGAATGAAAATTCATCGATTTGGTAGGTCACTTCCTAAGTCATGGTCGTGACTTGTGGCTTATTTTCGGGTTTAAATGTTGTTTTGCGATTTCCGAAGGAGAAGAACTGAGTTTTGGACCCCAAACACCCAAGGGACGAACCAAAGAGAGCGAGAGCGATCTAGAGACATTCTTGGAGCAGAATTGGAGGATTTCTTTGCCTTGGAAGCTTGAGGAACAAGCCAAGACAGGTAGATTGCAGATATGAAAAGTTATAATGTATTCTCTCTATTCTCTATAAAGTAGTTTCCCTTCACATAGGTTTTGAAGAACCCTTGTTCCATGTGTTAGGATCTTTCTTATATGAACCTTTGGATGTTATACGAATTGGTTTTGTTCAATTGAGGCATGGTTATTTTACTCAATTGAGTTTTGATCACATTCTCCTGAATTTTGCTTTAACCTAGGAGAGATAGAATCTAATTGGGTTTAGAGAGTTTATTCAATTGAAGTAGTGAATGGATTGTGCGAGAGTCAATCGATTCATTACTCTGCACTAGGATTCAATCAAGTAGAGGAGATCTTTGTTTATTGCCTTTGCATTTTATTCTGGTGGAGGTTAGTCGCCTGCCGGGTACTTTGTCTAAGAGGGCTTGGTGTGCTTTAGTCGAGATTACGAGCTACTATCGGATCTTCTGCAGTTTAATTATGAGTGAAACAATTAAAGGTGATTACAACTTGGACCTAATTGATGAGCTAGGGGGAATCATACTTGAGTGAGTTCCCAACTTGTAATTAGTAGTCTAACCTAGTTTAGCTTGTAAAGTAGTTTAGTTAATCAAACCTCAGTCTGATTTGTTAGATTATGAAATGAAGCTGAGTAATAGTAACACTAGAGACCCGTGGATTCAATATATATTACTTGTGTCACTATACTGCAGTCCCTTTCATTAGTTACACTTGGTCATTGTTAGAAGTTGTGTTTTAGCTAGTCAAGTATAAAATGCTATTAGCCCGAGATTTTAAATAAATGATAGTGACTAGTTTGCTAGTAATTTAGAAAGTAAAAACTAAAGAGACTGGAATGAAAAGTCTCTAGTAAGATGAATAAAGAGCTTTTGAAACCTTTTTACTGACCAGGAAATTTGGAATGCTCTGATGAAGATGGCGCCCACAAAAGCCCCGGAAGAAAAAATAAAGAAGGAAAGCGAGGAAGACAAAAGATATATTCTAGTCGATGGAAGAAATTATGGCAACTCAAGCTACCACCAAAAACTAGAGTTTTCATTTGGCGACGGGGCAGAAACATACTACCTAATGGCTCAAATTTGGTTTGTAGAATTAATTATGCTTATGAAGGATGCCCTTTATGTTGTATACTAGAAACTCGAGAGCATATTACTAGAGAATGTGTTTAGGTAGGTACAGTGTGGAGATCTAGCTCCTTAAGCAAAATCTTTGGATGTGGTGACTGGTGAGGGCAAATCATCTTAAGAATGGTTGTGTGAAGATGTGTAGAAGGCAACAGAAGAAGAGCTATATTCATTTATTGCAATGCTATGGTTCTTATGAAAGGAATGAAACAACCATCTCTTCAACAACAACAAAAACTAGAAGAATGCGAGGTTATAGCTAAATCAGAACACTATCTTGAAAAATCATGGGTTGTTCAAGATAAAAAAAGAACCAAACCTGGGAGGGAAGATGGAGTACAAATGGGAAAAGCCTCGATTCGGGATGTTTGAAAGTGGATGTACTTTTGCTGAGGAAGGAACTGGATTGGGCCTGGTGATTAGAGACTGCGGAGGGCCGTTCCTTTTGGCGGTGGTGCATCGAACGAGAACAGCTTGGACGTCGGAGATAGCAGAGACGAAGGCAATGTTGTGGGGATTACGCCTAGCCCTAAATCATAATTTTCAGTCCGATACTGATGGAATCATACTATAACGCACTGATCGATAAGCTAGGAAAGGATGAACGGTCAAATTTGGAAGTGGAATCGGTGTGCGATGAGATCAGGAAGAAGGGGGTTTGGTGTAGTGGCGATTTTGGGGAAGGAAAGGAAATGGGGCAGCGCATCAAATTGCATGAATGTCGTGTTGTTGGGAGGAGTCTGAGCTGTGGTTCTAGAGACCACCTTATTTTCATTTTTCTCAAGTATAGTTAGACTGTAAAAACCACTTTGATTGTTTAATCAAAATTACATGCCCTTTATTTATTTTTATTTTTTTAAAAAGACTAAAGAGACTTTTTTTTTTACAAGCTAAAGAGACTTTGTGCTATTAACCAACGCTCGAAGTAGAGGTGAGCATTCGGTCGATTCGGTTTCGATCGAACCAAAATTATGCATACCGGGTTCTCGAATTTCACTAAACCTCAAATCGAATTCGAACCGAACATAAAAAAAAATCCACCATTTGGAGCTTACAATTATAGTTATTCGGTTTTCGGTCGGAAATTCGGTTTGGTTGAAAGAACCATGATTTTCGAAATATCCATATATCCCTTCCGAATATCATTATTTCGATTTTGATTTGGTTTAATTCAATTTCGGTTCGGTTCATTTTGGGTTTACCGAATGGGTTGTCCACACCCAGCTCTAAGAAACCGCGAAATCAGATCCAACGGTCCTAAATCTCCGCTGGGAGTCCACCGAGAAATTCATTCATATTTCTCACTTTCGAGACCGGTAAGCCACGTCCATAGCAAGATCAGGATTCAATTGCTCTTGCCAGGGGAAGAGGCTATTTCCACTTTTTGCCGAACTAAATTAGACCAACCAGACCCTACTTCTGTGCCTGCTTGCTTACCCTGACTGTGAAACCCCCATGGATGCACCACCGCGAGGAGGAGGAGGAGCAGGCGCTCCACAGCATCGGCAGCAGCCGCCTCCGCCACCGCCTCCCGGCGCCGGGAACCCCATTCCTATACTTCTGCTGTTCCTAGTCATCGTAGCTATGGTATCTCTCTGCCCTTCTTCTTCTCTACCGGCTTATTGTCCTCTATTTTGTGGTCAGACAGTCTCTTACAATCTGCTGCTCTTCACAGTGTAGTGTGCTGGAATCTTAGTAAGTTTATCGACGGTGGAATCTGTTCCCCGTTGAGTCTGAAAATCGGACTTCACATGGCTGATTATTGCTCCATACGTCCTTCTTGCAGCTCCATGGTTTTCTTTGCCCAGAATTTGATTTCCGTTCATCTTGATTGAGCCCTATTTCGTCGTTCCTTTTTGCTTGTAAAGTAGCTCTGGACATCCATTCAAAATTGATTGGGACTGATGTTTGATAGTAGATCACTATTTTCTTCGATGAACACTGATGAACTTGATGATCAGAGAGGCTTTTAGTAGATGGAATGCTAAGCTAAGCAAGCTGTTTCCACCATTTTGGTTTTCCATATATCACATTATTGGGGGAAAGGGGTAACTCACCACCAGATTGTTGTAGAGGAGTCTCATGTTAGCATTGCATTTCTGCATTGTCTTAAAGTTTTGCCTTCTCAGTCCATTTTTCTCACTTTAGGTTGGATATAGACTGGGATTATACATATACAATATTACATATAAGTAAAAGAGAAAGTTGAATATGTGATATCTTAGAGAAATATCTATAATGTTTTGTGGGACAACATGGTAGGTACTGGTTCCTTCAACATCAAGCTTAAAGAGTAGCTTCACTATAATGCATCAAGTGCCAGAAGGCCATGTTGGGGTATATTGGAGAGGAGGTGCCCTTTTGAACACAATCACAGAACCAGGTATGCGTGCATGTACCCTCAACTCCTTTCTTTACCCAGTTTCTGTTTTTCAGTCGCTAGAATTATGTTGGTGATCTTACTTATGCTTTTTATGTTCAGGTTTCCATTTTAAGCTGCCTTTAATAACCCAGTACGAGCCAGTTCAAGTCACCCTCCAGACAGACCTAGTAAAAAAACGCTCATCGGCATATCTTTGATTCAATAAGATGGGCCATTTTGTCACCAGATGGTGCTTATTCAATTTTCTCTGTAAAAACTTGCAGGTGAGGGACATTCCATGTGGTACCAAAGGTGGTGTCATGATAAACTTTGAAAAGATTGAGGCAAGTTTTTTGAGTTATTGTTCTTCATTTGCCATATGATATGTTAGAGTCCTTTTTCAGTAAAAATGACTGTTTCCATATAACCATTTTCAGGTTGTTAATCGACTTCGTAAGGAATATGTATATGACACCCTGTTGAACTACGGAGTGCAGTATGACAATACTTGGATTTATGACAAAATTCATCATGAAATCAATCAATTCTGTAGCTCTCATTCCCTCCAACAGGTCTATATCGATATGTTTGATCAGGTATGCAAGTACAGTTACTATATATATGCTTATAAATCCATTAGTGTTTTTTTACCATCCAGATTCATTTTATGTGTTTGAATTGTGATTGAAGAAGGCACTATCCAAATAAATAAATCAACCTTTATTTTATGTTTAGAGCTAGTTTTTTGGTCCTTAGTCTTTCCTTTCCCGTAATTAAAGATTGAAAACTATTCTTCCCTTGCTGTCACCAGATTGATGAGAAGATGAAAGATGCCATTCAGGTCGATTGCACTAGGTATGCTCCGGGCATTGAAATTTTAAGCGTCCGCGTAACAAAGCCTTTGATTCCTGAGAGTATAAGAAAGAATTTTGAACATATGGAAGAAGAACGCACGAAGGTAATCTCTCTATCTCAAGGAAGAATACATGCTGGAGCAAAATAACTTGACAAAGTTTCTGGAAATAATAATAGGTTTTAATTGCTATCGAGAAACAAAGAGTGGTGGAGAAAGAGGCAGAGACAGCGAAGAAGATGGCTATCAGTGAAGCCGAGAAAAGTGCTAGTGTGAGCAAGATTCACATGGAGCAGAAGTTGATGGAGAAGGATAGTGAAAGGATGCAGCAAGAGATTGAAAACCACATGTATATGGCTCATGAGAAGAGTTTAGCAGATGCTGCATTCTACCGGTAAATTGATTTAAGTGGAAACATTTCTGTCTTCTCCTCTACTGTAACCCAGAATGCTATAGTGAATCCTAATATCTTCTTATCTCTTCCTCCTTCCCGTCTCAGTGTGATGAAAGAAGCTGAAGCAAACAAATTGAAGCTGACCCCCCAGTTTCTGGAGCTGAAGTTCATTGAAGCAATAGCCGACAACACAAAGATTTTCTTTGGGGAGAAGGTATCCTCTACTTCTTGAAATGCTCTCTCTAGGTTTTCAAATTTTCATCAATTGTTAAAATTGTTCTCGTAAGTAACCCTTGTTACGTTGTTTACATTATTAGGTGCCAAATATGGTCCTTGATCAGAGACTCCTGGGGAACTTCCTGCATAGGATGTCTGGAGATGTAGCAGCTAAAGAGGCAAACTTGGATGAGGTGTCGACGGGCGATGGACGTAGTGAAATCTGACATCTAGGTAGTGAATGGCTGAAGATGTTCAAGTGAGTTTCAGGAGCTTGCTGTTGCTCTTAATAGTTGTCTATGGTTTGTACTTGTTTCTTGTTATTCATTGAAACTGAAATGAAGTGGGAAGAAAGTTGTGTTGAAGCTTCATGCCATGCCGATGCCAGCAAGAGAGGCTGTGCGAAATTAACGAGATCAGAGAGGGGTCAGTGGCACATCACATGTATAAATAATAGAGCTAGAGCATCAAGGGCCCAGGGGTCACTTGTCCAAAAACAAATGTCGCAGAAAACTAAACATTGAAAGCTCTGTCTTCATCTCTCCCTCCATTTTTTTACTTCTCGAGTGTTCTCCTACATCCTACTCTTTGCTTCAATAACTTGCGTATGTCAATCACCATTAAGCTTGAGCGTTGAAAGGGACTACATAGAGCGCAAAACACTGATAGGGTACCTGGATCGGTTTCACGGATAGGGTTGTACATGGGTCGGTTTTGAGCATTTTAACCATCCAATCAATTAATCACGGGTTGAATTATTATAAATTAAATCCAAGCATTAATTTCAAGATCCAATGGGTTTCTTGAATCATGGTTTGAGTTGGGTTGGTTGGAAATCCACTCCATTATACTAGAGTAAAATTTGTAATTTTAATAATTTAACTAGCAAACCCGCTCACTTCGCTTCGCGTCAACAAAACTATATGATAAAATAACATGAGAGCATAATACGGCCAAATATCATCTGAGCCTTCCGTATGTGAAAAAATGCGTTATTTCAATGGCTATTTAAAGTCTGCCTACTGTCAGATATAGTCTTAGGGCTCGTTTGGAGAATTGGAGTCTAAATCTATAGATTTTAGACAATCCAAAAAATTTAACTCTCCGGATTGTTGAAAAAAGATTTGAAAATGTTCACTGTTTGGTAACTACGTTTGTTAACATCCAATCAAAAAAGAAATTCTATTTTTGTATTAAATGACATGTTTATCCTTAACCAACATAATTAGATTGGCTCGAAAACTATTGAGAATTTATTGGTAAGGGTATTTAGTGGGATAAATGAAAAAAAGAAGAGATATAGTAGGAGAAAGAAAATCTCCAAAATCAAGATGTATAATCTCTCTAATTATGAGAGATTTGATATCTCTAGATTTTAGAGATTTAAAATCTCTAAACCTACAATCCACGATACAAAATGTAACAAAAAAACATAACATTTTACTAAATCTATGGATTCAATAAATACATAATCCAATTCTTGTTCTCCAAACGACCCCTTAGTCTTCGAGCTGATGGAGCTGCCATTTCTACCGCTGCCTTCCTGCCACTATCAATTTG